CCGCGTTACTTGCAGATTGTTTCAGGCTGAGATATCTACTGACAGTGAACCGCTGCCACTCACACACACACACACTTCTCACTGAGTCTGTCACACTGGCTTCTCTCCTGAGGACCGCAGCTGGTGTTTTGAACGAATGTGTGTCTGGATAGTTCTACTTTGGATGTGAGGCGGTTGTGATTGTGGGGCAGCTGCAGTACCCCCCCCAGACCCAACCCCACCCCAGCCCGGATTGGCTGTGTGAACCGGAGCAGGGGGAAGTCGGAGTTGCTGTGTGCTGAGACAGTGAGCTCTCTGCTCAGCTCCGAATGTGGGACAGCCAGGAGCCCAGCACCTCTCCACGCTCCGGGAAGCAACCGGGACCCCACCCCGACTGGCAATTCCACCCTACCCCATCTCACAGTTCACCGCAACCGGGGCGAGGCAGCGGCTCCAAAATGAGACCGTGCGGAATTGGACTGCTGTCATTCTAGATCAGGAGCACGTAAACCTGCAAACCCGCCTCTGGACCAGGAGCACTCTCCCCTAGACCAGGAGCACGTAAACCTGCAACCCCGCCTCTGGACCAGGAGCACTCTCCCCTAAACCAGGACCACCTGAACCTAGAGAGCCAGGGTCAGTAAGTGTGGTCAGTGTCTCACAGTGTGTTAGTGTTAGTGTGTGTGACTGTCTCAGTGTGTTAGTATCTCACTACTTTTTGCGTTAGTGTCTCATTGTGTATCTCAGTGCGTGTGCATCGCTCTCATCTTGGGAATATGAAACTATCTCATCATGTTCTATCTCTTTCTCCTTCAATTTCCACTACCAGTTTCTCTCTCGAGTTGTTAGTCTCATCGCACTCATTGATTTTCCCTCACACTTTCAGTTTCCATCCTTTGCATTTCCTCACTTGGTCTCCTTCAGTTTATCCTTTTTTTTCTACTTCTTTCTCTCTTTTTCTCTCTCGCTTTCTATCCAGGCTATTTCATTCTATAATAGCCACATCAGAATGCTTCATACTATAATCCTTGCCTCAATCTATTTATTGCAGTCTTTCACATTCTTGCATCCAATATTGTTCACCCAGTGTTGCTCTTTCCGTTTGTCATTGTGTTTCTCCATCTTTCTGATCACTTTTATTTCAGTCTCAGCCTTTAAAAAAAATTCTCCCTCCTTCGATTTTCACTATGCCTCTGACTATTCAACCTTATAATTATTTCTCCCTTACCCCATCCCTCTGTCTTTTTCTCCATTTCATGATCTCCTCTCTTTCTGGTTTCATAATCTCAGCCCTACTCTATCTCCGTGGTCTATTTCTCCTATCACTTCTCAATGGTTTTATATCCAGAATTTAATTCTCTGATTTCCGTCTATTCCATTTTCTGGATTTCCCCATTTATTTTCCATTTCTATGCACTTATCTATAGACATCTCTCTCCTTCTTTCTCTTATTCCCACAACTCACATGCTTTTTGCTCTCAGTTTCTATCCCTCTCTCTCTGGTTGGTATAACTTCCTCCTGTGTCAGACCAAAACTGCGCTGATTTAAAGACCAAAAGAACTGTGGATACTGTAAATCAGAAACAAAAACAAAAATTGCTGGGGAAGCTTAGTAGGTCTAGTAGCATCTGCGCAGAGAAAACAGAGTTAATCTTTTGGGTCGAGTGACCCTTCCTTAGAAATGGAGTTCTGAAGAAGGGTCACTGGAGCCAAAATGTTAACTTTGCTTTCTCTTCACAGATACTCCCAGTTCTCTTAAGCTTTTCCAGCAATTTCTGTTTTTGTATAGGAATGCACTTGTGGGGGTGCAGAGAAGGTTCACCAGGATACTGCCTGGGATGGAGCGTTTCAGTGATGAAGAGAGGCTGGATAAGGTCAGGTAGTTTTCTTTGGAGCAGAGAAGATTGGGGGAGGACCTGATAGAGATGTATAAAGTTCTAAGGGGTGGATAGAGGGCAACTGTTCTCCTTAGTTAAGGGTCAATAACAAGAGACACAATTTTGAGGTGAAAGGCGAAAGGTAGAGAAGGAACTGGGGGAAAAGAATTTTAATCCAGATAGTAACAAGAATCAGGATTACACTGTCTGGGAGGGTAGTTGGTTTGGGAAACATTACAATATTTAGAAAGTACTTGGATGAGCTGTTGAAATGCCATAACATTCAAGGCGATGGACCAAATGCTGGAAAGTGAGATTAGTGTAGGATTAGTGAAGATTTTGTTGATGCAGACTTGAAGGGCTGAAAGGCTTCTTCTGTACTCTATAGTTCTATGATTCTACGACCTCAGTGGAGTCAATCAGCAGTGATTTGGATGGGAGGGTTCACTGTTACCCTTGATGTACAGCTTGTGGTGTGATTTTAGATTTATACCTGATATGAGGTGACTCAGTGATTGGGCTGATGCAGGGGATGGGCTTGGTGCTGTTTCAGTGTTGGAATAATTCAGTGGGTAAGGGGAGACCAGTGAGTTCCTTATTGAAAGGGCCTGGTTGTAGCAATTACATCTGTGACTCTAAAACCCTGCAAGACAGAATGGCATCATCCAATTATTCCAGGTGATTTACATGTCGATTTGCAAAGCTTTGTACTGTCACCTCAATTATACATTGTCCCCTTTGAACTGCCGAATTCCACTTGGAGTCAGTTTAAATAGTTACATTATTTATGGCCTGTTCTGACTATTCCTTACATGCACAATTCTGAGTCAGCGCTAGGCTCTTACTCCCTGTCCTGAAAGTACTGATTATAAGAGAAGCCAGCAGGGAACTTGGTCTCTGACTGTCACTCTGTTTACTTGAGGGGATGGGATGGGGGGGGGGGCACTGTCTTCCATTTTCATTACACCCTATTCACCTTGTTTACATGGTTGCTCTCAGCAGAGATGACCTATTTCCTATTATTCACACCTATAATTAACCTCTATCCCTCCTTTACCCCCATTAGCACTCCCTTTGTCTTTTGCTCTGGACACCCTCACTATCTGTTCCACTTGTTTCATCTTTCTCTTTCACAATAGCATTAAAAAAGCATCATATTCCAGACCTCTTCAGTTCCAAAGAAGAATCACACTGGACACAAAACATTAACTCTTTCTTTCTCCACAGATGGCACCAGACTAGCTGAGCTTCTCCTGCACTGCCTGTTTTAATCTTTGTTCATTGATCTGTGTTTGTGGAGATCCCTTCCATTCACCAAACAATCTTTGTGAAGATTCGCTGTTGAACAGTCTGATAGTGTTTTAGTTTGCCTCTTTGTTTGTAACATTAATGTCTCTGATTTTCCAATGGTGAGATAATTGGTTCTGCAATGTAGAAGGGAGTTGTGCACAGGGATCCAGTGGAATCGGCGCAGTAACAGACTCTGAGAGAAGAGTATGGGAAGTTGAAGATTCCATTGGGCAATTACTCTATATTTGGAATCTTTCCAAAGTACCGATTTAAACTGGAGAATTCTGAAGGTTCCACTGTAGGGAAGTAAATAGTTACTCAGGAAAAGTTAGACTACTGAAAACCTAACCTAATTGCCAAATAACTATAAAACTGAATCCAAAATTACCACACACACCCAGATCTATACACCTACCCAGATCCCTTACACACCTTAGCCCCTAACCCTAACCCTAACCCTATCGCAGCCTCTCTGCTCCTGTGATGCTGCTTGGCCTGCTGTGTTCATCCAGCCCTGCACCTTGTTGTCTCGGATTCTCCAGCATCTGCAGTTCCTACTATCTCTTGTCCAAGGATATGATGCTTTCAGTCACCAAACCCAATACCTCCTTCTACCCCTGAGACTTAACACCCCCTGAGAATGGGAAACATCCCCACATGCCACGCGACCTGATCTGAACCTCCTCTCCCCAGCCTCTCACCACATTTCCTGTACTGTGGGAAAATCCATCAGATTTACAGCAAGGCTCTGCACTTCTGAAGGAGCCCTGATCAGAATCTTCACTCAGGGCAACACGGTGGTTCAGTGGTTAACACTGTTGCTTTATGGTGCCAGGGACTCAGGTTTGATTCCAGCCTCAGGTGACTGTCTGTGTGGAGTTTGCACATTCTCCCCATGTCTGTGTGGGTTTCCTCTGGGTTCTGTGATCTCCTCCCACAGTCCAAAGATGTGCAGGTTAGGGTGGATGGCTGTACTAAATATGAGGACAGGGTTGGCATCTGGGTCTATGAGGAGGGTTTTTTGGAAGGTCATACAGACTTAATGGGCTGAATGGCCTATTTTCATATCATATGAAATATGGAGCTCTTTCTTAATGTAAAACAGTAGGAGTGGTGCTGTAATCTGAGTATAACCTTGGAAAGTCAAAGATGTTTGACACATTCCAACAAAAGAACTTTCCAGGGAGCAAGGTCTGCCCTGTTAAACAGTGCCCAGCAACGGAATAGTGAATGTCACACAGGCTTTGAGAAAGAATGAGTGTTTTTTTTAATCTCCTGTTAAACTGGTGGAGAATTAACAAAGACCTTTAAATCATGGAAAACACAGCCAGAGCTGTCTCCATGTTATTGTGCTTGTATTTTGCATTTTTTGTAGGAAGAGTTAGGTTTTAATTCAAGAGTAATGACTGTGAATCAAAAGCTGTGTTTGAGTGATGGTCATTGTATTTACATCTTAAAGACACATTTGAGTGGAACCTTGGATCGAGTTTGACCTAGACTGTAGGGTCACAGAATTTGGCCTCATCTCTATTTCTATCACTTTACTTGATTGAAGAAGATTTAGATGATGAGCACTCTGTTTTATTACGGTAAAGTGCACTCCTCCAAGTTGAAATATTAATGTGGATGTTTCTCTGTTTTTCTCTCTGACAGGACTCATCCATTAACTCCTGGCACGCTGAAACTTCCTCAGTGGATGCGCAGAGTTGGTTTCAGCACCGCGGACAGCGCTATGAGGAAGTCCCAGAGACGCTCCATTCCCTGAGCCAAACTGTTGCAATTTCATTTCTAATGAATTTGGGACAACGATAATCTGTTGCCTCTTGTTTAAAGTTGGGGTGTCAGGAACGCGGGATGTTTACTCTTTTACACTCGGCAGGAAGTGTCCCAGGAGGCTGCAGTCTGCTCCTAATCTGTTCCCTCTTCCTGTGCAGATGCAGTAAGTTAATATTTTGCAACAAAAACAAAGTTGCTGGAAAAGCTCAGCAGGTCTGGCAGCATCTGTGAAGGAAAAAAACAGGGTTAACGTTTTGGGTCTGGTGATCCCTGGATGAGTTGTACTTGCGTGGTGAGCCTTTCATTCCCCACAGGATTTCAGTTCCATTCATAGAATTAATCAGGCAGTACCGCACCAAAGAAAGGCCATTGGGCCCATCGTGTCCAGCTAATCCAACAGGAACATACTCCCACTCCAGCTTTAAGCTAAAGGGTCTGGATTCTTCAAACAGTCATCCAAGTACTTTCTATATGTGCTATGTCTCCTGCTTCTCCCCTGATTGGGAGATTGGGAATTCCTTATCTGCTCAATCCCTGTCCTCACCCCACTCTACTATTGTTCAGTCTCAACCTCTCACTCTGCCCCAGCCTCGGCCCCTCTGGTGACCTGGATCAAATGAAGCTCCAGTTTGAGAGAGTCCACGTCCAACAGTAGTGGTACCCCAGGCAGGTTCAGAGGGTGGAGGCTCAACATGAGAGTGGGAGAAGGGGCTTTCATAGGAACTTGAAAGCATTTAGGACTCAGTATCGAGTTCAACAACTTACAATCTGGGCAGCTCCTTCCGTGTCCTTTATCATGTCATCAGATAGGCTATGGGCACCCATCACAGCTAACCCAGTTTCACCCACTGCTTTTGATTCTCCCAGACTCACCATTGTCTAGTTGTTTGTCTGCCCACCTGCTGTTCTATCTCTCTGGTCTCCATCTCCTCTCATCATTTACTTTTCGCTCCCCCACCTCCCACCCCACACCTTCAGCATACATACCAAATTCTTATCTACAATCAGTTCATTAACTCTGCTTTCTTCCCACAGATGCTGCCAGACCGGCTGAGTTTCTCCAGCAGTTTCTGTTTCTGTTCCTAATGGTTTCCCTTTCTGGTTTTGCTTGATTGCCATTAGATGCTCAGCAAGTATCACTGGAATGCCCCACCTTCACATTCCAGCTGCTGGCACCCTCCCCCCTACAGCCTCGGCAAACAGGACTTTGTTGAAATGGCATTTGGTGTTCTTACATTTAAGATTTGGTTTCAATTCATAGATGACACATCAGCATTGGTGTTAACACAGGTCATCGCTGGGGCTCCTATATCATGTACCACACAAGAGGGCATGCATGTGGCCCCTAATGGCCCCTGGTGTATCAGACAGAAGGTATTAGCAAAATATAAATGACCTCAATGAATGGGAAGCATTTCTTTTTCTGATTAATTGCTTGATTTTACGGCAAGCTGACCATTGCAAGGGCCACTTATTGAAGTGAATCAAATGGGTATATTCCATCACCTTAGCCACTGATACTGCATTGATATTCATTATCCATGCTTCCATTTGTTCATAAGATGTAAACATCACATAGAAGGCCAGCATTTATTGCTCATCACTAGTTGCCCCTTGAGAAGGTGTTTGTGAGCTGCTTTCTTGAACCACTGCAGTCCATTTGCTGTAGGTAGACCCACAATGACCTTAGGGAGGGAATTCCAGGATTTTCACCCAACGACAGTGAAGGAATGGTGATATATTTCAAGTCAGAATGGTGAGTCATTTGGAGAGGAACTTCTAATGGGTGGGGTTCCCACGTAACTGCTGTTCTTGTCCTTCTAGATGGGAGTGATTGTGGGTTAGGAGAGAATTAATGTCAAAGCTGTTGGGTGGGTGCTGATCAAATGGATTAACAATATGTTTAATCAATAACAGTGGGTTTCATCAAGATTCTGATTCTCCTTCTCTCCCACTCCCTCTCCTTCTCCTGCTCTCCTCCCTCCCCTCCTCCTTTTCCCTCTCCTGCTCCTTTTCTCTCTCCCACTCCCTCTCCATCACTGTCTCCCTTTCCTGCTTGATTTCCTTCTCTCGTTCTCTTTCCCTATCCCTCCCCATCTCTCTCTCCCTCTCTCTCTCCCTCTACCTCTTCCACTTCATTTCCCTCTCCCTTTTCTGCTCCATTTCCGTCTCCCTCTTTCTCTCCCTCTCTCCCTCTCCCACTCCATGTCCCTCTCTCTCTCTCTCTCCCACTCCTGCTCCATCTTCATCTTCCTTTCCTGCTCCCTCTGCATCTCCTGTTCTCTCTCCTTTGTCCTCTCTCTCCCCCTTCCTCTCCTTCTTTCTTACCTCTAGTCTATTGTCAGGAGAAGACTCATTCTCAGGCTGAGGAGAGGCTCTTCAAACATCTCTTCACTGGCTACAATCGGTGGTCCAGACCTGTCCCCAATGCTTCAGATGCTGTTATCGTCAACTTTGGTCTTTCCATCGCACAGCTCATTGATGTGGTGAGATATCGTAGTGATCAGCTCACAATGACTGTTGTATGCAATCATTCCAGTTTACAATCGCCATTGTTGACAATTGCTGCTGTTCACAATCATTGCTGTTCATAATCACTGCTGTTATGTGAAAATGTGAGGTTATACACTTTAGCAGGAAGAACAGAGGAGTTGAATGTTATTTAAATTGAGGAAGACTGCAGAAAGCTACAGTACAGAGGGATTTGGGGGTCCTTGTGTCTGAATCACAAAAACCTAGCATCCAAGTTCAAAAGGCAAACGACATAGTAGCCCATATTCCAAAGGGAATGAAGAATAAAAGTAGGAAGGTTTTGCTAAAACTATATAAGGCATTAGTTAGGCTTACTCAAAGTGCTATGTACAGTTTTGATCCCCTTATCTAAGGAAAGATATACTGGTGTTGATGCAGTCTAGAGACGGTTCATTAGGTTGATTCTGGGTATGTAGAGATTTTCTTATGAGGAGAGGTTGAGTGGGTTGGTCCTGAACTAATTGGATTTTGGAGAAATAAGAGGTGACTTACTATAACATAAGGAGTCCTTAGGGAGTTTGATAGTAAAATGCTTTGAGGTTGTTTTTCCTCATGGGAAAGTCTAAGAACAGAATGCATCATCTCAGGATAAAGAGTCATCCATTTAAGATAGATAAGAAGAACCTTTCTCTCAGAAGCACAGAGGATGTCAAGGCTGGGCCGTTAAGTATATTCAAGGCTGAGATAGATTTTTAATCAGGAAGGGAATCAAGGATTCTGGGGATAAAGCAGGAAAGTGGAGTTGAAGATGATCAGATTAGTCACAATCTCATTGAATGACAAAGCAGACTTAATGGGCTGAATGGCCAACTCCTGCTCCTTCTTCTTATAATCACAATCACCAATGTTCGCAATCACTGTAGTTCACAATCAGTGATAGAAAGAACTGTAGATGCTGGAGTCAGAGATAACACAGTGTGGAATTGGAGGAACACAGCAGGCCAGGCAACATCAGGGGAGCAGGAAAGTTAACATTTTGAATCAGGACCACTATTCAGAAAAATTTTCACAATCAGTGGTGTTCACAATCATTGCTATGAGTTTGCACTGCAATGTTACAGTCTTTACGCTCACCAAGTTTAGCAAAGAAGGAACTTGCATTTAGATAGAACCTTTCACACCCTTAGGACACCTCAACGCTCTTCACAGTGAAATACCAATCATTGTTGTCATGCATACTCACACAGGCAATGCTTTCTGTGCAGGGTTGAAGGAGTTCCTTTGCCCCCTTCTCTTCCCCACTGTGTATAGCAGGAAAAGGACTGAGGGAAGGGACAAAACCAGGACTGTTTTCAGTGACCCATGTGCGATTGTTGGTTGCTCCCAGGAAATGTTGCTTCGGGTTGGAGCAGGAGCTGAGCTGGACCCTGAATGAGGGTCTGCTGTTGGCTTAAGATATGAGGAGACTTGCGGGAAACAGCCATCAAATCTAGATCAGGTTTGGGTGTTTTTACTCTTTGAGAGTGAAGATGGATGAGCTACATAACAAACAAACAGATTAAAGATTTAAGATGTTGGATATTAAAGTTTAAGCGGTTGTCTATTGAATAATTTATCATCACTTTGTGTCTTGTTATCTGTGTTGTAGGGACTGAGAGCTTTTGATTCAGTCTGGTGTTCTCATAATCCCTAGGATTACATTAAACACACTTCATTGACTAGTTCTGTGTACTAACAGCACAACATTGGGAAATACCGAGGTGGGTGTAGAGATTCTTTCATGGAATTCTACCTGGTTACATCACAGTGGGAAGGCCATCACCACCAAGACACAGTAGCAGGAGTGTGTACTGTCTACAAGATGCACTGCAGAAATTCACCAAAGATCCTTAGACAGCACTTCCCAAACCCATGACCACTTCCATCTAGAAGGACGAGAGCAGTAGATATATGGGAACACCACTCTCTGCAAGTTCCTCTCCAAGCCACTCGCCATCCGGACTTGGAAATATATTTCTGTTCCTTCAGTGTTTCTGGGTTAAAATCCTGGAATTCACTCCCTATGGACATTGAGGACTTACCTGCAACACATGGACTGCAGCGGTTCAAGAAGGTGCTCACCAACACCTACTTAAGGGGCAACTAGGGATGGGCAATACATGCTGACCCAGCCAGTGACACCCACATCCCAAGAATGAATAAACTAAACATTTTTGTGAATTCTTGCTGCAGCCTTCACATACTTCCTAAAGTGTACTGCCCAGAAGAGAGCACTGTATTGCAGCTCAGAATCAATGTTTTATACGCAAGTTTATCATAGCTTCTTTGCTCTTTTACTGCGTATGAATAAATCACAAGTTTTGTGTGCTTTATTAATCATTTTTGCAACCTGCCCTGTCACTTTCAATGATCTGTATAGATACACACCCAAATCTCTCCGCTCTGGCACCATGTTTGGAATTGTTCCCTTTCATTGATACGACCATCCATTTGTCCTTGTCTCAGAATTAAGCTCCCTATGAAATCTGCTTCCAAGGGAAGTGAGATCTCTTCACGTTGTGCCCAGTGTGTTAGAAGTTCCTGTTGGAGCTGGCTTTCAGAACAATTCTTCTGGTAGTGCAGTGACCAGGGCTTTGTCCTCAGTGTCCCGAAGGAAAGGGGAGAGAACATAACTGGGTCCTGACTCCACACAAACCTCCCCCTTCCACTCTTGTCAGTCTGGACTCCACTGTGAGGCCTCCATAGTCAAATTGCCTGCCATTTCTGACTGTCTGAACTTGAACAAGAAGTCAGATCTTACGAGGCAATATCTTCATCTTAAATTTTCACTCCTATTTCCAAAACCTCTCCCTATTGCTTTAATCTCCTCCAGCCCCACCACCGTCCAAGATCTCCGTGACCCTTCGGTTCTAGCCTCTTATGGATCCCTGATCTGAAATCTCTACCCTTAGCTGCCTGGACCCTGAATTCTGGAATATGATTTCATCTGTCTATCTCACCTCCCTCCTTTAACCCTCTCCTTAAAAGCTAACCACTTAACCAACCTTCTGGTGTTCTGTCCTAATGTTTCCTTTGTGGCTCAGTGAAGCACTTTATTTTATAAACCTCTTGAGAACAATTTTGGGACGTTTCATTATGATCATGTCACTATATAAATGTAAGTTGTTGTAGGTTCCAAACTGGCCATTATGGTGTCTGTTATCTGAATGGGAATTACTTGGAGGAGTGAGGGAGCAGGGAAACAGATGTAGACACTTCAGTCTGTACAGTCTAGAGAAGGCTGCTCTGTTGTGTTCTGTCAGTACACTGAAATCCATTAGGTTTCTCCTTATGCTTCAGTTATCTGCCAGAGGCTAATACAGACCATATACGCCACAGACATTCCAGCTGCAGAACATCACAACGAGAATTGGAATGATTGCATTGGTTGACTGCCCATTATACCAAGATGCAGATTAAAGAAATATGTCCCTTAGACACAAATTATTAGAGCAGAAAATGTTCACTTTCATCTAACAGTGATGTGCGGCACCGAGTCTCCTTCACGTATCTTCATTCCGCCGCGCACATTTTCAGCCTTACACACTGCTGCCCCCTCACTTTGGCGCAGATGATCCCCATGGCACTGTTTCTGAGATAAGCAGGGGCATTCCCCCTGAGGCGCTGCTCCATTTTTATCCCTCAATCAGTATCACTGAAGACAGGTCGTTATTATTTTGCGTTTGTGGGAACTTCCTGTCTGCAAATTGGCTCCCATGTTTCCTATACAGTGATTGCTTTTCAAAAGCACTTATTGGCTCTGAAGTACTTTTGCGACATCATGACATGGCAAAAGATGCTACAGAAATGCATTTTCTGAAGAAGGGTCTAAGCCCGAAATGTCAGCTTTCCTGCTCCTCTGATGCTGCTTGGCCTGCTGTGTTCATCCAGCTCTACACCTTGTTATCACAGAAATTCACATTTGTTGTCCTATCTCTGATTAGTTGTAGAAAGGCAGCTGTTTCAAAATGGCTTCATATCTCCTGAAATAAAAGTAAACAGGGGAAACAATGGCCTAGTAGTATTATTGCTGGACTGTTAATCCGGAGACCTAAGTAATGTTCTGGGGACCCAGGTTCAAATCCTGCCACAGTAACTGGTGGAATTTGAATTCAATAAAGATCTAGAATTTAGAGTCTAATGATGACCATGAACCCATTGTCGATTGTCAGAAAACCCATCTGGGACACTAATGTCCTTTAGGAAAGGAAACTGCCACCCTTATCTGATCTGGCTTACACGTGATGCCAAATTTACAGCAATGTGGTTGACCCTTAACCCAGAGGGCAGTTAGGGATGGGCAATAAATGCTGGCCTAGCCAGTGACACGTACACCCTGTGAATAAATAAGAAAGAATAAAGAACAATACAGCACAGGAACAGGCCCTTCGGCCCTCCAAGCTTGCGCCACCACATTTTGCCCTTCCACACTAAAACTGTGTTCACTTACAGGAGCTGTTTCCCTCTATTCCCCTCCTATTCATGTATTCGTCCGGGTGCTTCTTGAACGCTGCTATTATAGCTGCTTCCACCACCACCTCTGGCAACATGTTTAGGCACTCACCACCCTTTGTGTGAAAAACTTGCCTCGCACATCTCTTATAAACTCCCCCTTCACTCCTTGAAACTGTGTCCCCTAGAAATTAATCCCTCACCCCTGGGAAAAAGCCTCATAATTTCCACTCTATCCATGCCATTCACAATCTTATAAACTTCTATTAGGTTGCCCCTCAACCCCTGCATTCCAGTGAAAACAACCCCAGCCTTTCTTCCAACCTTTCTTCATTGCTAAAATCCCCCATACCAGGCAACATTCTGGTAAACTTTTTCTGCAGCCTCTCCAAAGCATCCACATCCTTCTGGTATTGTGGGGACCAGAACTATATGCAATATTCCAAGTGTGGCCTAACAACTTCTATAAATCTGCAGCATAACTTGTCTATCCTTATATTCAATGCTTCTTCCAATGAAGGCAAGCATGCCAGAGGCCTTTCTTTTAATTACCTTATTTAACCGCACTGTCACCTTCAGCGATCTGTGGGCCTGCACACACAGATCCCTCTTCATATCAATACCCCTAAGGGTTCCGCCATTCACTGTATAATTTCCACCTGTACTTGACCTTCCAAAATAAATAAACAATTAGGGCATTATCCTAATGAACTGACTTGAATTTACTTACCAACACAATTTGAGAGGTTTCTTTGCAATATTCTTGACTCACTCCACTGGCTTATTGTTATATTGGTTATGAAGTAGTGATGAATTATTCACAACAATTATTATCTTTTCCCTTCCTTTTCTTGGAACAGGATGAGAAAAACCAGATGATGACAACGAACGTTTGGCTCAAGCAGGTAGGTGTGTTTTCAAAAGGGAAGATTTATTTCTCCTGTGATCCCTGTGTTGTTGTGATCTCCTCATTGGGGGTTCACCCAACATTCTTCATGAGCTCCTAAGTGAGTTACAGGCTCTGCTCATGTTTAACCAATGGACACCGAGCTTCCAACTGCTCCCTTCCTATTTGGACACTAGTCTTCAGGGGTTTCAGGATCCAAATATTGACTGATCACTCAGCAGTGCCCTTAAACCAGAGAGCTGATATACCTGTTTGACTGGATTGGAGATCTGGTGGATCTGTTTGAATGGATTAGAGATCCAGTGGACCTGTTTGAGTGAATTGGAGATCTGGTGGACCCGTTTGGGTTGATTGAAGATCTGGTGGACCTGTTTGAATGGATTAGAGATCTGGTGGACCTGTTTGAGTGAATTGGAGATCTGATGGACCTGTTTGAGTGAATTGGAGATCTGGCGGACCTGTCTGAGTGAATTTGTTTTTCTTTATTCATTCATGGGATGTGGGCGTCACTGGCCAGGCAGCATTTATTGCCCATCCCTAATTGCCCAAAGGGCAGTTAAGAGCCAACCACATTGCTGTGGGTCTGGAGTCACATGTAGGCCACACCAGGTAAGGATGGCAGTTTCCTTCCTTAAAGGGCAGTAGTGAACCAGATTGATTTTTCCAACAATTGGCAATGGATTCACAGTCATCATTAGACTCTTAATTACAGATATTTATTAAATTCAAATTCTACCATCTGCCATGGTCGGATTTGAACCCAGATCTCCAAACATCACCTGGGTCTCTGGATTAACAGCCCAGCGATGATACTACTAGGCCATTGCCTCCCTCAACTGGGGGTCTGTTGGACCTGTTTGGGTTGATTGGAGATTTGGTGGACCTGTATGGGTGGATTAGTATGCTGATGGACCTACGGGGACATGGCTTGGGGAACTCATGGATCCGTGGTGTAAACATTATTGAACTGCCAGTCGGGATTGATGATTGATGAGTGTGTAGGTGTTGAGGTTTGAGTTCTGATAAATTTGTTGGCATGGACCTTGCAGAGTGATGAATCACAGCCTTACACAGAGTGCCACTCAGCAGGAACTGAATCTGTGACTTTGGGGAGGTGATGGCCTGGTGGTATTATTGCTAAAGTATTAAACCAGAAACTCAGCTAATGTTCTAGGGACCCGGGTTTATATCCTGCTACGGCCAATGGTGAAATTTAAATTCAATTTTTAAAAATCTGGAACAAGAGATCTTCTGATGAGTGTGAAACTATTGCTGATTTTTGGAAAAACCCATTTGGCTCAGGCATGTCCCTTAGGGAAGGAAATTTCCATCTTCACCTGATCTGGATTACATGTGACTCCAGACCCACAGCAATGTGGTTGACTGTCAACTGCTGTCTGAAATGGCCTGGCAAGCCATTCAGTTCAAGGGCAGCTAGGAGTGGGCAATAGATGCTGGCCATCCAGTGATGCCCAGTCCCATGAGTGAATTAAAAAAATTGATGTGAAGACTCCTCTAAACTTAATTCTATTTTAGTCCTTTGTCAGAGCTATTGACATGTCATTTTGTTTCCCCATCAACGTCCTTGAGATTACCACTGATCTGAAATTCAACTGGGCTTGCACATAAACACAGTGGCTACAAGGGCAGGTCAGAGGCTGGGAATGCTGCAGCAAGTAGCTCACTTCTTGCCTCTCCAAATCCAGTCCACTATCTGCATGGCACAAGTCAGGAGTTTGATGTAATACCCCCCAGTTGCCTACTAGGGGCAACTCCAATAACACCGTACGAGCTCAACATCATCTAGGACAAAACAACCTGCTTGATTGGCACCACATCCACAAATACCCACTCCCTTCACCACTGACACTCAGTAGCTGCAGTGTGTAGTATCTACAAGATGCACTGGAGAAATTCTCCAAGGCTCTTTAGACAGCCCCTTCCAAACTCAGAACTCCTTCCATCTAGAAGGACAAGGACAGCAGATACATGGGAACACCACCACCTGCAACTTCTCCTCCAAGGCACTCACCATCCTGACTTGGAAATATATCACTGTCCCTTCAGTGTCACTGGGTCAAAATCCCGGTATTCCCTTCCCAAGGAAATTGTTGGTCTACCTACAGCACATGGACAGCAGCAATTCAAGAAGAAAGCTCTCTACTGCCTTCTCAAGAGCAACTAGGGATGGGCAATTAATGCTGGCCTGACCAGCAGTACTCATATCCCCTGAATGAGTAATAATATAAAAATATATGCTGAATGGTTGATCTCACTGGGCTAGGGGTTCACTGTGGCTGACTGTATCATTTATAACAAGCTCCAGGAACTTTGGCCCCTTGTGTGTAGCTTCCCATCTGCTTTCTCAGTTCTTGTCCCTTCAGGTTTTGTCAGACACTGTGACAGCTCTTCATTACCACTGTACCCCTCCTGATTACCTGTGTTTCTTTTCTAGGAATGGTATGATTATAAACTTACATGGGATCCTGCAGAGTTTGACAATGTAACTTCAATCCGTGTCCCTTCTGAAATGATCTGGATTCCTGACATTGTTCTTTACAACAAGTGAGTTTTACAATTTCCTTGGGTGAAATTCCTCTGGGATGTAATTCAGAGAAGTATGAACTGATACAGTTTGACAGAAGGAAAAGGGACTTAAATGATTGAGTGCTAAAGGTTGTGCAGGAGCGGGGGTCCTGGGGTTGTGTGCGCGCCAGTCTTTGTAGGTAGTTGTACATGTTGACAGAGTGGTTAGCAAGGGATAAGGGATATTGGGGTTTATAAATAAAAGCAACAAATATAAAAGCAGGGGAGTGATGTTGAACCTTTACAAAGCTTTCGTGAGGCAGCAGTGTATTCAGTTCTGGACATTTTAGCAAGGATGAGATCGAGGGTGTTGTGAAGATTTAGTGGAGTTATTCCAGTTATAGTAGTTTTAAGAAGCTGGGATTGTTTTCCTCAGAGCAAAGGAGATTGAGAAGAGATTAGATCAAGTTGGATTAGACTAGGACATGTTTGGATCTGACAGATGAGTGAAACTTTTCCCTTGACGAATGTGACAAGGATGGGGAAGGGGTGCAACTTTAAAGTCTGGGGCAAGAGCTGCAGGGGTGGAGGGGGTGAATATGAAGAAGACACTTACATGTGGTGTAGTTAGTGGGAATGAGGTGGACACTTGCTGCCCATCAACGAGGTAGAATCAGAAGTGAACAATGACACTAAAAAGAATTTGAATGGGCACTTGGAAGAAATTTAGAGGGAGATAAGGATTTAATGAGTTTGACGGGGGGGGGGGGTGGGGGGGGGGGGGTGATGGGGGCGTGGGGATGGCGGTGGGAGGGTGGAATAAGACTGATGATATGGCCCTGTGGAGGCTGGCATGAGCTTAATAGCCTGAAGGTACCTCTTCTGTGCTACCGTCTCAGATTATTTATATCAAATAAATCAAGCCTTTCCAGTTTTGGAGTGACTAGCAGTAAGGAGATTTCCTCCTTGCCTTTGTGTTGAAGAGCATGAAATAGAAACAGGACGAGACCATTCGACCTGTTGACCATCCTCTGCTTAAGAGAGAGAGAGAGAGGCTGGTGAATGCCTGTGGCCATGTAGTTGCAGTATTGTCACTTCACTGTATGCTAGCCAGCTGGTCAAATCTGTACCAGATTAAGAATGTACCAGAAACAAAAACAAAGTTGCTGGAAAAGCTCAGCAGGTCTGGCAGCATCTGTGAAGGTAAAAACAGAGTTAATGTTTCAGGTCCGGTGACCGTTCCTCAGAACTGAATGTACCAGGTTGACCGAGTTGTTTGTTCAACTTTCAGTTTTTGTTGGAGAGTGCAGTTACCTGGAGGTAACTGCTATTGTTTGTGCATGGAGCCAGCAGACTGTTAGGGAGTTAGCTAAATTCTGACATGGTGATTGGTGGCCTTGGCGTCCAGCTTCATAATCCTAAATCAGAGTGTTCACATCCCACCATGTTTGAAAATTCTGGATGTGAATAGCTGGTCTCAGTAAAAGTGACCAGAAAGCTGTCAGACTATCGTAAATCCCCAATGAGTTCAGATATGCTCTTCCTGGAAGGAGCCCTGTCATCCTCAGTGACTCTACTTGGCAGACAGCCCTCGGAAATGGTAAACCTATTGTGGTTCACTGCGTCCAGGTGATAAATGCCTGCAGAGCCTACAACCTGTGAGTGCATTAACAAGAACTGACATTTGTGGAAAAAATGTCTGAGGAGATTTCATGCTTGTTTGACAGATTTTAATCAACATACTTAGCTAGTGAGTGTATGTTTGCTAGAATGTCAAGATTGGTTCTGCTGGGGCGGGGAGTTCCGAAAACCTGGCAGCTGCAGGCCTGTTTCAGAATATCAAATATACTGAACCAGCACTTATCTCAGACAGAAAGGACCTTCCAGATTGTTGGCATGTTAATCAATGCAAAGTTAGCTGCTCATTAAATTCAAATTGATTACATAAACTGCAAGGATTGCACTTTCAAGAGAGATAGCTAGATTAAATTGAGCAAGGATTAAACGGAGAGAAACTGCAGAAAACTGTAACACAAAGGGACTTGGGGGGACTGGTGTATGAAACACGGAAAGCTAGCACACAGGTGCAGCAGGTAATCAGGAAGGCTGATGGAATGTTGGCCCTTATTTCAAGGGGTTTGGAGTGTAAGAGTAGGGAAGTCTTATTGCAACTGTATAAGGTGCTGGTGAGACTACATCTGGTGTACTGTCAGCAGTTTTGGTCTTATTTAAGGTAAGATGTCATTTCATTGGAGGTAGTTCAGTGAAGGCTCACTAGGATGATCTGTGGTATGGAGGTGTTGTTATATGGACAAAGGCTAAACAGGTTGGGACTCTATTCACTGGAGTTTAGAAGAATCAGAGATGATCTCATTGAAACATACGGGATTCTTAAGGAGCTTGATGGGATAAATGCTGAGAGGATGTTTTTCCTCATGGGAGAGTCTAGGACTAGAGGGCATTGTCTCAGAATAAAGGGGTGCCAATTTAAGCCTGAGATGAGGAGGAATTTCTTCTCTTAGAAGGTTGATAGTCATTGGAACTCCTTACCGCAGAAAGCTATAAGGCAGAGTCCTTGTGTATATTTAAGGCTGAGATTGATTCTTGATCAGTCGGGGAATTGAGGGTTACAGGGAAATGGACAGGAAAGTGGACATGAGGGATGTTGCATCAGGTCAAAGGGGCTAAATGGCCTACTCCTGTTTCTATGGTCTGCTGATTGATTTCTTTTCAAAAGTTATGGATGAGCTTTGCTTTGATGATGATTTAGCCCTGGGCCTAATGGCACTGTAAACTTGGCCTCTTTGCTTGTTGCAGTGCAGATGGAGAGTTTGCAGTGACACACATGACGAAGGCTCACCTCTTCTCAACGGGCCAGGTACAGTGGGTGCCCCCAGCTATCTACAAGAGCTCCTGCAGCATTGACGTCACCTTCTTTCCTTTCGACCAGCAGAATTGCAAAATGAAGTTTGGCTCCTGGACGCATGACAAGTCCAAGATTGATCTGAGGAGCATGGGCAGGAATGTCGACCTTAAGGATTACTGGGAAAGTGGCGAGTGGGCAATAGTCAATACAGTGGGGATTTATAACAGCAAAAAATATGACTGTTGCTTCGAGGTGTACGTTGATATCACATACTCCTTCATTATCAGGAGGCTCCCTCTCTTCTACACCATTAACCTCATCATTCCTTGTTTACTCATCTCTTGTTTAACTGTTTTGGTCTTCCATTTACCATCAGCCTGTGGAGAGAAGATTACTCTTTGTATCTCGGTATTGCTGTCCCTGACTGTTTTCTTGCTGCTTATTACTGAAATCATCCCCTCGACTTCGCTGGTCATCCCTTTAATTGGAGAATACCTACTCTTCACCATGATCTTCGTCACGCTCTCCATTGTTATCACAGTCTTTGTCCTCAACATCCACCACCGCTCGCCCAACACCCACAAGATGCCCAGGTGGGTGAGGAAGGTCTTCCTTGATTTCATCCCTTGCTGGCTCTTCATGAAGAGACCGAGATCCAAAACCGAAATGTTCACCGACCACTTCAGTCCATTAGAGTTGAAACTTGGCCTGTCCAAATGCTGCCCTCCCTTAAGGGGTCAGGAGCCATGGTTTGACCTGGCCCCCTGCCAGCCCAGTCTGGCGGGACCTTGTGCCCTCGGTCACCCTGAGTCAAGCAGGTCCACAGTGGAGATGGACGATGGAAACCGCCGAGCCTGGCCAAGTAACACCACTCAGACAGGAGCCAATCTGTCGCTGTCTCCCAGCATTATGAGAGCACTGGAGGGAGTGCATTATATTGCCAACCATCTCCGAGCTGAGGATGCCGATGTTTCAGTAAGTGTTGCTGGTGGTGTTGGGGGCGTTGGGGGCGTTGGGGGAGTGGGGTGGGGGAGGTGGGGGTGTCCCATCCAGTTGGTGGACAGACTGCTTGGGAGGTTTGGTGCGTTCTTTGGCAGATTCTTATACCCAACTCCAAGAGCAGGCTGGTGGGAGTGAGATGGCAGACTGGGATGGTGGGGGTTTAGAGTTGTGTGACTGGGACTTTCTCACCTCTGCTGCCATTTTACCAGAGCTGGTGGTGCCGCTGAGACAGAACAGCAGCTAGTTCTTGGATTTGCTGACAAGCCTTTCCAACCTCAGAGGAGCCAAAACTCACAATTCTGGAAATTCCAAATGATGGGCATGTCAGTTATGGTTCCCAGGGTCAGTCAGAGGTCATAGAATAGAATCCCTACACATGGAAGCAGGCCACATAGACCCTCCAAAGAACATCCCACCCAGACCCACCCTCCTACCCCATTCCTGTAATCCTGCATTTCCCGTAGCTAATACACAAAACCTACACATCCCTGAACACTGTAGGCAATTTAGCCTGGCCAGTCCACCCAACCTGCACATCTTTGGACTCTGGGAGGAAACTCGAGCACCCAGCAGAAACCACGCAGACACAGGGAGAGGGGGCAAACTCCACACAGACAGTTGCCTGAGGTTGGAATTGAATCTGAGCCCCTAGTGCTGTAATGTGGCAGTTCTAACCACTGAGTCACCATGCCACCCACCTCTGCTTCCTCTTTGTGTTAGGTATTAGGGAGACATTGATGGAGAATGGGCCTCATAAATGAGGGAGGGGGAAGTGAAGATGTGGAAGGAGGTGAGTGGAGTATGGGAGAGTGGATACCTCACTTGTGCCATTGGATAGATTCCAGATTAATTCTGTACTCAGAAATCAAACAGAATCATTTCACAGAGAAACAGGAGAGCTGTAGAGATGTCAAACAAACATAGAAGCATAGAAGGTAGGAGGAGGAATACGTCATTCGATGCCTCGAGCCTGCTCCACCACTCAATATGATCATGCTAACCATTAAGCTCAGTAAGTTAATCCCCTCAGCTGTGTGGCTTACTTGATGATTTTAGAAGGCAGTCACGAAGTAACCACATTGCTGTCAGCCTGGAGTCACATGTAGGTCAGACTGGGTAAGGATGGCAGATTTCCTTCCCTAAAGGACTATAAGACATCAAAGAATAGGAACAATAGTAGGCTATTAACTCCTCGAGGCTGCTCTGCCAGTCAATAGGATCATGGTTGATCTGACATTCCTCACATCCATTTTGTTCCCTTTTTCCTCTCACCCTTGATTCCCCAACTGATCACAAATCTATCTAACTCAGCCTTAAATATATACTGTGTGCAGATTCCCCCACAGGTCTCTGTGGCAAAGAGTTCCAAAGGCTTATAACCCTCTGAGAAAAGAAATTCTTCCTCACCTCAGTCTTAAATTGGTGTCCCTTTATTCTGAGACAATGATCTCTGGTCCTAGACTCTCCCATGAGTGGAAACATCCTCTCAGCACTTACCCTGTCGAGCCCAGTAAGAATCCTGTATGTTTCAATGAAATCACCTCCCATTCTTCTAAACTCCAGTGAGGAGATTCCCAACCTGTTTAACATTTGCTCATAAGATAATCTGTCCATGCCAAGGATCATCCGAGTGAACCTTCTCTGAACTGCCTCCAAGGAAACAATATTGTTGCAATGAAAACGGAGTGGTTTCATGATCATCATCACTGAGCCTAGCTGTCAATAGCAGGATTTTATTAATTGAATTAAAATTCTGCAAACTGCTACTTGAAGCAATGTTTTATTTTCTGGAAGATGAGTGTGTGGAATGTTTCTGTGACAGTTTCACAAAACCATGTTTTGTCGAACCAACCAGACACAAAGCTATTTTAGACCCAGTGTTGTGTAATGAGTCAAGATTAATTAGCAATGTCATCATAAATGATCTGGTGAGATTTTGAAAATATTTTTTCATGGCATCTGGGTTTCACTGGCTAGACCTAGTTGACCTTTGAGAAGGTGGTGGTGAAATGCCTTCTTGAACTGTTGCAGTTTATGTGCTGTAGGTTGACCCACAATGCAGTTAGGGAGGGAATTCTAGGATTTTGACTCAGCAACACTGCAGGAATGGTGATATATTTCCAAGTGAGGGTGGTGAGTGGCTTGGCGGGGAATCTACAGGGGGCGGTGTTCCCATATATCTGCTGCTCTTGTCTGTCTAGATGGAAGTGGCCTTGGGCTTGGAAGGTGCTGTCTAAGGAGACATAATAAATTTCTCCAGTGCATCATGTAGATAGTACACACTGCTGCTACTGAGAAGTAAGTGAATCTTGAAGGTGATGGATGGGGAAACACAAGGCACTTTGAAGGACAAGGCTACAAGAGTTGTCTATTTACTCCTTCAATACTGCTCCACCAATTAGTTAGATCATGGCTAATCCAGTTGTGACCTGACCTCCACCTTCCTATTTATTCTCCAAATCCTTGACTCCCTCCATTTTCTTAAAACTATCTCACTCTTTTTAGGCTAACTTCAATGCAAAGATTAAATCAGGAAGAGTTAATGGAGAAACTGTAAAATAATGATAAAATTAAATTATACGTGAAACTGCAGACTTGACAGAAAATCACAAACTGAGACAGGAAAGTACCTGCACAGACCACAGTCTATAGTGGGAAATTGTTAGCCAAAAAGCAGGAAACTGACAAAGCAAAACACAAAGAAATTATTAATAGTGGAGGAAATGGTTAACCAAAGGTGAGAAACTAGTTTTACAGACTGAAGCTGAAGTGGGCAATGGTTAACCAAGTACCTTCCTGTACAAGAGCTGCTCTCTGCAGGATGAAAGTGAGCGGATCTCGGTTAATGATTACCTGTTCCATGTTCTATGTTGGCGTTGCTGGGGGCAGGCAGCTCCTGTTCTGAGGTTTTATCCTGCACAAGAAGCTCATTGCTATTTGGTTTCACAACAACGACAGTGGAGAGAGGGAGAAACTGTGAGTCTTGTACAAATCCCGGCGTACTGGGGCCACTCTTCTCACCTCATCAGTTGTTCAGAGTATGGAACTGAGCAGTGAAAGGGTTTGCTGTGTTAGGGAGGGGATTGTCACCTATGTGGCTGCACCTTTGCTGAGTAAAGTGAGAGAAGCTCTCTGCCACTTTCCCTTCAGGTGCAATTGCAGTACCATCTAGGAATTAATCTTTGTGGACAATGCAAGGCAATCCTGGTGGATTGGACATTCTACATGGAATTCTCTGTGGTTTTCCAAACTGTAAATTATCTGATCACCCTGACCTGAACTCCTCTTCACTGAACAGGGGAGTGCTGAGTGGTTAGTCTCGTGAGCAATGGCCCAGGTTAAGGCCAGGTTATCCTCTGAGATCTTTCTGAGTCAGGCTGCAGGGAGATGGAGCTACAGCTTTCACCCAGGTGGAAAGTTCACTAGAATGTGCTGCTTCCACAGCAGGTCTGAAGGGTAGATTTATCACCAGGGAAATTCTACTCACCACAAAGTCTCAAATTGCTCAGATTTAACTGTATCTTGCTTCTCCTTCCTATTCCTCCAAATCTATTCCTTCTTTCCCCTCATCTATTCCTCTCTTCTCTTCCCTACCCTCTCCCCTCCCTACCCACTCCTCCCCTCCCTATTCTCTACCCTCCCCACCCTTCTCCTTCTCCTCTATCCTTCTCCTCCCCTCCATTACCCTGTTCCATTCCTATCCCTCTCCTTCCCTCCTATACCCTTTCCCCTCCTTACCCCGCTCCTCCTCTTCTCTTTCAGGTGAAGGAAGATTGGAAATATGTTGCCATGGTGATTGACCAGATTTTTCTCTGGATATTTATCATCGCCTGTTTGTTGGGAACGTTCGGACTTTTCCTCCCACCCTGCCTGGCTGGAATGATTTGATATTCCACTTGTAAAGTAGGGAGAATAAGCTGGGAGTGTTTGAGCCGTAAGTGAGGGTATGGGGTTAGGGAAATGTTCAAAGGAACTCTCCCTTTCACCTACCCCTTTGTGGACCTCCACCTCCCTACTCCATTCCCTCACTCCCCTAGCCCCATTTATCCCAAACTCCCCCACTCCCATTTACCCCAAACTCCCCCACCCCCATTTACCCCAAACTCCCCCACTCTGCCATCCCCACTTGCCCCACTCCCCCACTGTGATCTCCACTCCCAGCTGTGGCCCTCACACCCCCACCCCTCCCGCCCGCCAACTCCCCCACCCATCCCCACTCACACAATACCCTTCCACCCTCAACACACCCCACTACACATTCCCCATCCTCCTAACGGGCCATTTACTCACCCTACTCCTCTCTACCCCACGCCCAACTGCCCCACTCGCTCACCATCTTTCTCCCAATTCCTGACCCACCTTCATTAACCCCCTCCTCCCTACCGGTGACCCATTTACACCCCAGCCTCCCCAGTCACCTCCACCAAGCCTGACCAGGAATGCAGTAAAATTCCTGACGGGGTGAATTGTTTTTGGTCACAAGGAATTAACATTGCCCTCACGTACTGACCCCACCTCTCTTCCTTGCTGATTATCTGAGTCCAATCCATATTTTCATGAAGAAGCATGTTAAATATTGTGAATAACTAATTAAAATGTGGATATATGACCATAAAGATGCCGGATGGCGTATTTTGTTCATTTAGCATTGATTTGCAGATACACAGTTTGGTGTCATTTTTGATTTATCGACTTCGAATATTCTAAAAAGCATTTCCATCTCTTTTGACTGCCCCAGTATTTATGTGGAGAGCTCAGTGATTAAGGGACTGCAGTTTCCATATTCGCTCAAGCTCAGAATTTGTTGTCAGATCCCTGGTGGATAGCTCGTGTCCCTGTTAACTACCACTCTGCATCCCCAACACACAGACACACACACACAGACACACACAGACACACACACACACACACATGCGCGCGCGAGCATACACACTTGTGCTGCTTCACCCTTGCTCTCTCTTACTCAGTGGGTTTCTGTTGAGCAATGTTTTCTGCAGTCAACCTTTCCAGATTAGGAGCTGGCACGTTAACATATTTTTGAAGTGAAACCTTGATTAAATATGAGAGAGGGTTCACAGGCAGACCTGATTGTCTGGGTCTATGCTCAGTTGGTCAAACTCTTGCTTCACAGTCACAGAATACAACTTTCAAGACCTCATCTAGCAACCTGATTGCTCAATGCAGGCTCCCTTCGAGGTCTGTCCATTCTTATACAGTCCTGACTGCCTTCTTATCTTTACCTTTCATAAACATAAACACATCCGAGACCAATATTTCATTTGAGTTCTGAGGAAGGGTCACTAGACACAAAACATTAACTCTGATTTCTCTCCACAGATGCTGCCAGACCTGCTGAGTTTATCCAGCAATTCCCGTTTTTGATTCCATTTGCCTTCTCTATTACCTGCTGGATTGGATTCCAGGTTTTTGTGATTTATGGATGCGGAATCCCAAATCCCTCCATGTGTAGCTTTCTGCAGCCTTTCCCTATTCAAGTAATATTCAGCTCCTCTATTCTTCCTGCCAAAGTGCATAACATCATAGTTTCCAACCTTATATTCCATTTACCAAGGTTTTCACCCATCAGATAACTAGAAGCAGGAGTACACCATTCAGCCCCTTGAGCCAGCTCTGTCATTTGATACAATCATGGCTGATCTCATTTCAGCCTCAACTCCATTCTCCTGCCTGCTCTCCATAACTGTTCAACCCAATTCACGCTGCTCACTCTACCTGTGTATATCTCTTTTTGAGTCAGACAGTCATAGAGTCATTGAGATGAAAAGTACGGAAACAGACCCTTTGATCCATCTTAAATAAAAACTGAAAGAACTGTGAAACCTGTAAATCAGAAATAAAAACAGAAGTTGCTGGAAAAGCTCAGCAGGTCCGGTGACATCTGAAGAAAAAATCAAGAGTTAATGTTTCGGATCCGGTGACCCTTCCTCAGAATGGTCCATCATGTCCATGCCGACCTGATGTCCTAAATTAATCTAGTCCCATTTGCCAGCATTTGACCCATATCCTTCTAAACCCTTCCTATTCATATACCCATCCAGATAGCTTTCCGAAGATGTGCCGGCTGGGTGAATTGGCCATGCTAAAGTGCCCATAGTGTTCAGGGATGTGTAGATTAAGTGGGTTTATAGGGGGATGAGATGCTCTGTGGTTGGTGTGGACTTGTTGGGCCGAAGGGCTTGTTTCCACACTGTAGGGATTCTATGATTCTATGATGAAATGTTGTAATTGTACCAGCCTATATCACTTCCTCTGGCAGCTCATTCCATACAGCTCATTCTGCATGCAAAAGTTGCCCATTAGGTCTCTTTTAAATCTTTCCCCTCTCACCTTAAACCTATGTCCTCCAGTTTTGGTCTTCCCCAACCCAGGGAAAAGGCATTGCCTATTTACCCTATTCATGACCCTCATGATTTTATAAACCTCTATGAGGTCACCCCTCAGCTTCCGACTCTCCAGGGAAAATAGCCCCAGCCTAATCAGCCTCTCCATATAGCTCAAACCCTCCAACCCTGGCAACATCCTTGTAAATCTTTTCTGAACGCTTTTAAGTTTCACAACATCCTTCCAGTAGTAGGGAGCCCAGAACTGCATGCAGTATTCCAATAGTAGCCTAACCAATGTCTTGTACAGCCACAACATGACGTCCCAACTCCTATACTCAATGCAATGACCAATAAAGGCAAGCGTACCAAACGCCTTCTTCACTGCCTTGCCTACATAACACTCCATTTTCAAGAAACTAGGGACCTGCACTCCAAGGTCTCTTTGTTCAGCAACACTCCCCAGGACCTTACCATTAATTGTATACGTCCTGGCCTAATTTGTCTTTCCAACATGCAGTACCTCACATTTGTCTAAATTAAACTCCATCTGCCACTCCTCGGCCCATTAGCCCATCTGATCAAGATCCCATTGAACTCTGAGGTAACCTTATTTGCTGTCCACTACGGCTCCGATTTTGGTGTCATCTGCAAACTTACTAACCATACCTCCTATGTTCACATCCAAATCATTTATATAAATGATGAAAAGCAGTGAACCCAACACCGATCCTTGTGGCACAGAACTGGTCACAGCCCTCCACCCCCATCCTCTGTCTTCTACCTTCGAGTCAATTCTGCATCCGTATGGCTAATTTTCCCTGTACCTCAGCCTCATCACTTGCTTTCCCAACTGTTTTTGTGCCATCTGCAAAATTGGAAATAGTGTATTCTCTTTCCTGATCCAACTGATTAACTTATATTGTAAATAATTATGGTCCCAGCACTGAGCCCTGTGACATAACTGTTGTTAATTACATCAGTATCTGTCTTATACCCAACAAGCTGCATTTAAGAATAGAAGGAAGAAAACACTGGAGACCTAAGCATAAACATTTATTTTAGTGAGTAGAAATAGTCACCAGGCCTACTCCCAATCAGCTGTAATCGCATCACGCTGTGGTTTGTAACATCTCTCTACCATTGGACACACTGCAGGTCACAATCCGACTCACCTGCCCATGCTCCAGAGAGTCTATTGCCTGCAGTAAACTTTACTTAAAAGTGCTCTTTTCCCGTTGGGTCAAATTCCGAGGTGGACTCACTCAGCCTTTGTTTCTGCCTCAGTCGGGTGAAGTCTCCGCTCACACTAACTTTACGTTCTTACTGATGAACCAATATCTTCATTTAAAATTTTCATTGTTGTTTTTGACTCCCTCCAATGATCTTATCTTTCCCTGTCTCTGTTACCTCCTCAAGATCTACAATCCTCCAGTGGCAGAAAGTGGGACTAGTGTAGATTTAATGTAGCTTTGGCAGAACAGACTCAATGGGCTGAAGGGCCTCTTCTGTACTGTGTGATTCTATGAAAGATTTCCTCTAATTCTGACCTCTCAAACATTTTCCATTGAATCAATCGTCTCTCAGTTTAATAACCTAGGCCAAAAGCTCAGGAAAGTAATTCCCTCCCTAAATCTCTTTGTTTATCCTTCAAGGCAATTTGTAAAATTTACGATATCGGCCAAATGTTGGGCATCTGAAAGAACTCCTCTTGAGACTTAGTTTCTCGTTTAGTTTGATTATGTTCCTTTGAGGCACCTTGGGAAGATTGAAGATGTATAAGGTACTATATGAATACACATTGTTGTTGTTAGTGCATTGCAGTGTGAGTACAAAACTGTTGGAGGTGATGTCTGTGAAAAGAGATTTTAACCGAGTCTCTGCTAGTGGATGTCAGAGATTGGCTGTGAATATTTTGAAAAAGAACACTCTGGCTAATATTCACTGAAAAACTAACACAGCTGAAGCAGAATATCTGATCATTGTCACATTGCTGTCTATGGGATCTTGCTGTTTCAGAATTGGTTGCTGTGTTTCCAGTGATTATAGATCACTTTTATCTCATTAGATGCATACCATTGTAGGACATTCTCAGATTATGAAGGGATTGATATAAATGCAAGAATTTCTTTTGATGTATGTACGTTGTAAAGGTCATTTTCACGATTATTTTGGAAGTCACACAATACCAGGTTATAGTCCAAAAGTTTTCTTTGAAATCACAGGCTTTCAGAGTGCCGCTGTTTCGTCACCAGGTGAAGGAGCAGTACTCCGAAAGCTTGTGATTTCAAATAAACCTGTTGGACTATAACCTGGTGTCATGTGACTTCTGATTTTATCTACCCTGGTCCAATGCCGGCACCTCCACATCAGTATTATTTTGGACTGTGGACTAAAAATGAGAAAAGATACTGATTTAAACCAAGGAGACTCTGCAAGAGCAGTCAGTAATTTATAGTGAAGACATGTTTATGGGAGCACATTGTAAGTTGTGTGTAGAAAATTTCCTTTTCCAGGAACAGAAAGGGCAATGCCAAATAGAACAGTAACAGTGTGTTTCTAGACTATGGAACAACTGCCTGGCAACAGCATTTTGATTGGTTCTTGAGCAGCTGATCATACCCTGCGTGTGGAAAAGATAACAGAAGCTTCCTATGTGTGGCCATCAACGCCTCTCTCACTCCCGTGTGGGAAAGTCACAGGATATCCTCTGGTAGC